TCATCAATGAAGATATGATTAAATGGCCAGGCAACTTCAATCAGGTCTGGCTGAATTTCAACATTTAATATGTAGACAAATATCTGCAAAGATTTATGAGAATTGATTGTGTGATGTCTCTTTGAAATTTTAAATTATTTTTATATTCTAATTTCTTAGCTCCTGTTGTGAGCTTGTGTGTGAATTCTCATGCATGCCACTGCCTGTGCCCATTGAGGCCCCAGTCAGCACTGGTTACCTTCCTCAGTTTTTCTCCATTTTATTTTAAACATAGTCTCTCTCTGGACCCTTGCTTTCTGAGTTAGCTGTACTCAAGTGGACAGTGACACCCAGCTTGTCCCTCTGTCTTCATGACTGCCATATTGGGAATACAGTAATACAGTTCTAAACCTCATTTTTCTATACTTCTGTTCTGCATGATTGAATTCAGGACCTCATGCATATATTGCAAATACATTAAGTACTGAGCCATCTCCTTAGTTGTGTTTGATATCTTCAATTTAGAAATGAATCAGTCTTTTGATTTTGACTTTGATGTGCAAGTACGTATACATACACACACAAGCACATACATATTGATGGCTAATGCTGGAGATAGAATTAGTTAAAATTGAAATTCAATTTGGGTGTGTTCATTCATGCTGCAGTGACTGAATAAATCAGTATTGATGACTGTATATATGAGTGTGTGTTTCTGTGAGTATTCACATACATGCACACAATCATGTATATGTATGTACATTTTTTCCTTATATATGCAAGCTGATGCTTAATTTTCCCTCAATTTAAGACAACTCATTCTCAAACATGCCCACAGATTTTATAAAGAGGAAATAAATTACAAATGTTTATGCAATTTCTCATTATAACTGATGTTTGTGAGCTGCCTGTTTGGTATACTTGGAGATAAACTCAAGTTTTTCTGTGAGAGCAGCCTGCACTCTGAACTGCTGAGCCGGTTCTCCAGCCCCATGTACCTATTAATATGTAGATATTTATGAGACAGACCCTGATTTCCAATCATGGCAAGAAGCATGTCTAAGGAAAGGGCAGAATTATATCTTTGCAAACACAATTTCCAAAAATATTAATATTAAAGTTGTTAGAAATATAGTTGTTTTTTAATATAAATATATATTTTCTTTCTTTCTTCTCCTTTTTTATTATTCAGAAATTCTCTATTCATTTTACATACTAACCACAGATCTCCCTCTCCTCCCTCCTCTCGCCCCATAGCCTTCCCTCCCAACCCACCCCCCCATTCCTCCCTCTTCCAAGGCAAGCCCTCAAATGGGGAGTCAGAAGAGCCTGGCACATTCAGTAGAGACAGGTCCAAAGCCCTCCCCCTGCACCAAGGTTGTGTAAGATGTTCTATCATAGGCACTGGGCTCCAAAAAGCCTGATCATGTACCAGGGATGAATCCTTATCCCACTGCCAGGGGTCCCCTTAAACAGTTCAACCTATTCAACTATCTCTCCCATGCAGAAAGCCTAGTGTGATCCAGGGAGGCTCCACAGCTATTAGTCCACAGTTCCTGAGTTCCCACTAGTTTAGTTTGGTTGTCTCTGTATGTTTTCCTGTGGTGATCTTGATGCTTCTTGTTCATAGAATGCCTCTTCTCTCTCATCAACTGAACTCCTAGAACTTGGCCTGGTGCTTGGCTGTGGATCTCTGCATCTGTATCCATTAGTTACCAGATGAAGCTCCCCCCCCCAGTTTGTTCATGAATATCTCATCTATTTCTCCTTCACAGGGTGATCCATGCATCCCTCTTAGGGTCCTCCTTATTAGCTAGCTTCTCTGGAGCTCTGGTCTGTAGTCTGGTTATCCTTTGCTTTATATTTAGTATTCACTTATGAGGGAGTACATATCATGTTTGTCCTTCTGAGTCTGGGTTACCTCACTCAGGGTAATATTTTCTAGTTCCATCCATTTGCCTGCAAACCTCATGATGTAATTGATTTTTACTGCTGGGTAGTACTCCATTGTGTATATGGGCCACATTTTATTCATCCATTATTTAGTTGAGGGGCATCTAGGTTATTTCCAGGTTCTGGTTATTATGAATAATGCTGCTATGAACATAGTTGAGCATGTGTTTTTGTGGTATGATTGAGCATTCCTTGGGTACATGGCCAAGAGTGGTATAGCTGGGTCTTGAGGAAGATTGATTCCCAATTTTCTGAGAAACTGATACACTGATTTCCATAGTGGTTATTCAAGTGGCATTCCCACCAGCAGTAGAGGAGTGTTCCCCTTGCTCCATATCCTCTCCAACATACGCTATTATCAGCGTTTTTGATCTTAGCCATTTTGACAGGTATAAGATGGTTTTGATTTGCATTTCACTGATGACTAAGGAGATTGAACAATTCCTTAAATGCCTTTTATTCATTTGAGATACCTTGTCCTTTGCCCTACAAAACCTTTCAGTTTCAGGAGGTCCCATTTATTAATTGTTGCTCTCAGTGTCTGTGCTTCTGGTGTTATATTTAAGAAGTTTACTCCTGTGCCAATGCATTCAAGACTACTTGCTGTGGGAAAATACCCTTGTACACTGGTTTAATAAAATGGTGATTGGCCAGTAACCAGGCATTAAGTATAGGCAGAGTAAGCAGATGAGGAGAATTCTGGAAAGAGGAAGGGCTGAATCAGGAGTTGCCAGCCAGACACAAAGGAAGCAAGATGACAAGGCAGAACTGAGAAAATGTACCAAGCCACATTGTTAAACATAGGTAAGAATTATAGGTTAATTTAAGTGTAAGAGTGAGTCAGTAATAAGCCTGAGCATAGGCTAAGCTGTTATAATTAATATAAGCCTCTGTGTGTCTACTTGGGGGACATGAGTGGGAGAGATTCATCCCTACCACCAGCCAGTCATGACACAGGAAAATTTCCAACAACAACTTCTTCCTACTTTTTCTTATATCAAGTTCAGTGTAACTGAATTTATGTTGAGGTCTTTGATGTACTTGAAATTGAATTTTATGCATGGTGACAGATATGGATCTGTTTGTAATCTTCTATACGTTGAGATCCAGTTATGCCAGCACCATTTGTTTAAGGTGCTTTCTTTTTTCCATTGTACAGTTTTGGCTTGTTTGTCCAAAATCAGATTTTTCATAGGTGTGTGGATTAATGTCAGGGTCTTCAATTCGATTCCATTAATCCACATGTCAATTTGGATTAAATTGACTGGTATGCCAGTACCAAGCTGTTTTTATTAATATAGCTCTATAGTAGAGTAGAGCTTGAGGTCAGGGATGGTGATGTATCCAGAGGTTTCTTTATTGTACAGGTTTGTTTTAGCTGTCTTTGTTTTTTTTTCCCATATGAAATTAAGTATTATTCTTTCCAAGTCTCTGAAGAATTGTGTTGGGATTTTTATGGAGACTGTACTGAATCTGTAGATTGCTTTTGGTAAGATTGAAATTTTAACAATGTTAATCCTACCTATCCATGAGCATGGGAGAGCTTTCCATTTTCTGATATCTCCTTCAGTTTCTTTCTTCAAAGACTTGAAGTTCTTGTGATACAGGTCTATCACTTGCTTAATTAGAGTTACCCCAAGGTATTTTATATTATTTGTGGCTATTGTAGGGGATGTTTCTCTGATTTCTTTCTCAGCCCTTTAATCATTTGTATATAGGAGAGCTAATTTTTTTTTTAGTTAATCCTGTACCCTTCCACATTAATGAAAGTGTTTATCAGCTGCAGAAGTTCCTTGGGTTCACTTATGTATACTATCATATCATCCACAAATAGTGAAAGTTTGACTTCTTTTTTTCTAATTTGTATTTCCTTGATCTCCTTTTTTTTCTTATTGCTCTGGCTAGAACTTCAAGTACTATATTGAATAGATATAGGGAGAGTGGACAGCCTTGTCTTCTTCCTGATTTTAGTAGAATTGCTCTGAATTTCTCTCCATTTAATTTGATATTGGCTGTCAGCATGCTATAAATTGCCTTTATTATGTTTAGGTATGTTCCTTGTATTCCTGACCTCTCCAGGACCTTTATTATGAATTGGTGTTAGATTTTGTAGAAGGCTTTTTGAGCATCTAATGAGATGATCATATGTGGTTTTTTTCAATTTGTTTATATGATGGGTTACATTGACAGATTTTCATATGTGGAACCATCTTTGCATCCCTGGGATGAAGCCGACTTGGTCATGGTAGATAACTTTTTTGATGTGTTCTTGGATTTAGTTTTTCAATATTTTATTGAGTATTTTTTTTATCAATGTTCATGAGGGAGATTGGTCTGTAATTTTCTTTCTTTGTTGCAGCTTTGTGTGGTTGGGCTATCAGGCTAACTGTAGCCTCATAAAAGGAGTTTGGTAAGGTTCCGTTTGTTTCTATCATGTGGAACAATTTGAAGAATATTGGTATTAAATGTTCTTTGAAAAGCTGTTAGAATTCTCCACTGAAACCATCTTGTCCTGGACTTTTTTTTTGGTTGGGAGACTTTATTTTGCAGATAGGATTTCTCTGTGTAGCTTTGGAGCCTGTCCTAGAATTCTCTCTGTAGTCCAGGCTGGCCTTGAACTCACAGAGATCTGCCTGCCTCTGCCTCCCAAATGTTGGGATTAAAGGCATGTGCCACCACACCCGGCCAGGTTGGGAGACTTTTAATGACTGTTTGTATTTCCTTAGGGGTTATAGAGGTATGTAAATTGTTTGTCTGGTCTTGATTTAACTTTGGTATTTGGTGCCTATCCAGAAAATTGTCCGTTTCTTTTAGCTTTTCCAATTTTGTGGAGTGCAAGTTTTTGAAGTATGTCCTTGTGATTCTCTGGGTTTCCTCATTATCTGTTGTTATGTCTCCCTTTTCATTTTTGATTTTGTTAATTTGGATTCTTTCTTTCTCTCTCTCTCTTTTCTTCTTTTCTGGA